CCCCGCCGCTGCCGCCACGGCAACGAGGAAGTCCGGCCCTCCCGACTCCGGGAGTGACGGCTGAGGGCGGCCAATGGGAAGCGCGGGGTCGTCCCGGGGCGCACCAATCGGCGACGGGCGTCGCGCTTCGCCCCGCCCTCCGCCCCGCGGCTGTCAGCCCGCGGCTCCGCGCCGCCCGGTGGTGGCGGGCGGGGGGTGGTGGGAGCCGCCGCCGCCGCCGCCATCATCCTCTCACCGGGCGGCTGTGAGAAGGCCCCCGCAGGGGTCACACACCGCCCGAGCAGCCCACGGCGGGCTGAGGGGCTGCTGCGGGCTCCCTCAGGCCCGGCTGCCGGTGCTGAGGGCTCGCCCGGCCGGCCCCCTCAGGCCGCTGGGTCTGTCTGGGGAATCTCCTTTCCCCGAAGCCACGGTGGTGCATGGGGCCGGAGCTCCGGGGGGGTCACCCGGCACGGCCAGGCTTCCCGCCGGCGGGGAAAGGCCCCAGGAGCCCAGGCCGCTGGGGGAGGCTGAAGGCCACGGGCAGCCATGAAGCGGGGGCTGCCGGTGAGGGCTTACTGGCCAAGGAGATGGGGAGCTGCACTAAAGGCAACGGAAACCAACGGGCCAGGTTAAGCTTATAGAATCACAGAGGCCTCTAGGTTGGAAGGGGCTTTTAAGATCATCGAGTCCAACCATCATCGAGTCCAACCATCAACCTAACACCGCCAAAAACCATCACAAAGCCGTGTCCCTCAGCACTGCATCTGCCCATCTTTTAAATACCTCCAGGGATGGGGATTCCACCACTTCCCCTGGCAGCCTGTTCCAGTGCTTGATAAGCCTTTTAGTGAAGAAATTATTCCTAACATCCCATCTAACATCCCCTGGCATACCTTGAGGCCATTTCTTCATGTCCTATCGCCTGGGACGTGGGAGAAGAGACTGACCCCCATCTCTCTACACCCTCCTTTCAGGTAGTTGTAGAGAGCGATAAGGTCTCCCCTCAGCCTCCTTTTCTCCAGGCTGAACAACCCCAGCTCCCTCAGCCTCTCCTCAAGAGACTTGTGCTCTGGACTCCTCACCATCTTCATTGCCCTTCTCTGAACGCACTCCAAAACCTCCATGTCTTTCTTGTAGTATACAGATATCTAGAATTTAAGCTATTCTAAATGAAGGTCTCAAGGGAAAGCCAGCTTTCCACCGTCTAAAATTACTCTCTTGGCTTTGTCAAGCACGAAACATCACTTACTAGTAACAGTAGTCAATTCCTTTCCCCTCTCTTTTTTTTTCATCTTGCTTTTTACGTGGCCTCTAGGCACCTGACAGGCTTGTTTGTTTGGGAACTCATACATTTTATACGAAGTTTCAACCTTAGGAAAATATCTGTGGTTGAAGTATAAATCTCTGTTGGGAGAAAGAGGGTGGAAAAAAAAAAAAAAGAAAGAGGCCAAATGAGCCAGCAATTATATTACTCCCAAGTACTCATTTTCTGATTTTAATGCCATCCATTAGAAAAAGACTCTGTGCGCCAGAGGAGCAATGCACAAGCTGGATCCCGCTCAGACCATAAAAATAGCAGTCAATATTTGAGCAAACCACACGGAGATGCTTGTAAGGGCTGGGGGCGGGGGGACGAGGTCCCTAAAGCGAGTCCGGTGCCCCCAGCACCCATTTCCCTTCACGACACCGCTGGCAATTTGCAGTGTTTGCGTACTCAGCATGCAGCGTGTCACCTACCAGATAAAAATTCCCCTGTATTTGCACGGATCGTGCATGTTTAGCAAAAAGAGCTACCCTCTAGTGTAAAATTACACCTGCGATGTAACAACTTTGACTTAGCCAGTGTTACCAGCAGCTTCTAAAATAACCAAAAGCGTAGAGGAAAAAAAAATATTTCCTTTGTTTGTTTTTCGTTTTGTTTTATTTATTTCATCATCTGGGGACCTTTGCAAAATAGTTGACGTTTCCCTTTACATTCGGTTTCCTCTGTTTGTATCTGATTGAGTAATCAAGGAGGGGAAGGTACACACAAACAATCGAAAAAAAGAAGTAGATGAGGGAGCAAAGTCTGCCATCTGTCCCAGGGAGCCAGGAGTCTCTTGCTCAAACCAATTTCTAACTGCTGCATTTTGGTTTTGTGGAGAACTCTCAAGGCTGGGCCTTCATAAATGGATCAAATTAAATAAAGACACCAAAATAAACCCATTTTGTTTGTCTCCCTGCACTCCACTGTGCACAGCTCCCTCTGGAGGCCTCTATCTCTGTGGATTTCTTCCTAAAAGCCCAGGTTTCATTGCACTGTGAGTCTTCCTCACCTGGGGGTGGTCAGGCTGGATGAGGTTGGAGTCCACATCTCCCTGCTGGCTAAGGGCTGTCCTAGACAGGCCCATGGCGAGGTTGAACCTTCTCCAGAAGAACATGTGGCTCGCCATTTCCTCAATGGGTTAGGTCATCCAGAGACCAGGTCTGTAGATACGTAGAGATGCCAAAATCTGCAGCTCACCCCAATCTCCAAAGCACCTCTCCTCTCTCCCAAGAAGCTGAACAGCAGTCCAGTCTCAAGAACCTCATGGGCCAGCATGCGGTGAGGTCTCCTGAATGTTGCGGTGATACAAGTTATTATTCACTAGAGGCATCTCCACAAAGGAAGACAGGGTGGCTGGCAGCTTTCACCTGCCCTGTGAACCCTCTTCCAGGGGGTATTTTCCCCCTCAAGTCCTTCACATTTCTATATATTTTTTTTTTCTTTTTTGGCCCTTACCACATTAGGGAAGTGCTTTTCAGAGTGGGGATTAGCCAGCCAAGGCGAGGTCCTGCTACCTCCCACGGAAGCAGTGTTTCTGCGTGGTGTCCTGGGCAGCAAATCCAGCCTGGAGCCTACCCCTAGCACACTTCACCAGGCTACCTGCTGTTTCTCATGGCTCACAAGCTGCCGGGCTTGTCCTGGTTGCCCCACATCCAGCCTGGTTACATCAGCTGCTCTGCCAGGCTCCTGCGCTCCTCTACAGGTGACGTTCAGATCAGAGGAGAGGTCTGAAATAAATTCCCCCTGCGGGTTCCGTGTACTTCTGCTGCCTGTGTAAAGCCTTTTAAACTCATAGCCGGGTGCGAGGCTCCGTCACGTTGTGTTCCTCTGCATATTTTATAATGAGCACTGCTTGGGAAAATGTAGACACAGCTTGATGCTCAAATTCGTTCCAGAAAATGACAGAGGAGCGCTCTGCTCTGCTCTCTCTCCCTCTTAAGGTCTTTTTTCTTTTTCTTTTTTATAAAAGCAGAGCTTATTTGAGGACAAATTAAAAATAGCCTTGACAGTTAACTCTGGGCTTTAATCCCCCATGTGACGTTGCATCACACATGATGAGAAGGAAATTCCTCCAGGCTCTAAATAAACCTATTATCATTTAATCTCTAATGGGTTATTTTGAAATCCAAACAGAACACATCTTTTGTGCACTCGCACAGCAACGAAGATCACTCCGGATTTCCAAGAGCCCTGACAGAGGCTTAGAAAAACATAAAAAAGGAAACAGGCAGCCAGGAGCAGGGCGGTGAGGAGCAGCAGGCTAAGCTGCCCTGACAGATCTCAAGGTGTGACAGCATCAGGGTGTGGGACGGGGACCCTCCAGCCCCACGGGGACAACAGCCTGGGCTTCTGCCACTTCCCTCTTTCCACAAAAATACACCTGCAGCCTCCTTTCCTGCACTGCCCTGGCCCTCGAGGTGCGTGCCTGACGTTTCCCTTTACTAATAACTATACTGTAACTTACACAAAAGCTTTCCTTTCCTTATGCAACAACGTCCTCTTTAATGAGCTGGGAATCCATAAATAATAACTATGTCTTTCATAGGAAACATGTACTTTCCTAAAGAAAAAAAAAAGTACTAGCCCAACAGTCACCTCTAAAAAAAGGTTTATATCATTTAGTGGCCTCCCCAGTCCAAGAAGGTGTGCATGTGGTACCCAACACAAAGTCCAGGCAGAACAGGAGGTAAAAATTGCTGTGTCCTTCTCAGTCTCAATTTTAACATTCATCTAAAGCACCAAATGTGAGAGACCCTGACTTGCTCAGCCTGTGCAACGCATCTATGTAAAATACACTTAACTTTGTGTAAGCCTCTTGGGAATGGCTTCCCCGTATCAACGAGGACGGAAAACAGACACACCGTCAGACACAGGCAGCTGCATAATGAAGGAAGAACACAACTACAGGTGTGCAAATTTAATCAACCATCACTTAATTCAACACAGTAGAAGTCTTCTTTACATATGTATGTCCACTAACACATTTAACACACCAAAGGAAAGACAAGAGGATTGCTGAAAAATCATGATTGTTCTCTCTCTCTCTATATATATATATATTTACAGAAAGCAAAATATAAAGAAAAACACACATCCCAGCTGACATTGTCAATATCCCACCAGGGCTATTCACTCTTTTGACAATGAGCTTCCAGCAGCCCTGCAAGCCTCGTGTCCACAGGGTTCTGTATACAGAGCTGTTCTGCAAGCCTCAAATGTTGTTTGATTTAATTCCCAAACATCTCCTTGGAAGGCATAAAGAAACATGACAAACACCACTGTGTCATCACATTAAATAATAAAAAGCCCATTAATGCTTTACAGCTATAACTTTTAAGAAAGCCTAGGAATGATCAAATCCTCATCCGAAGAACATCTCTCAGATATCTCGAATCACAGAACCCCTGAAAGCTCACCACCTAAACCAGACCAGCACAACGCAGACAGGATGGACCTACACGTAAATAAATTTGGTTATCAGCTTACTTCTTGGAAGCTTGTTAAATAGGATTCTTCTTTCCTAACTTTACAATCTAACAATCAGGTATCTGATCTAAGCTCATTTTTATAATCAATATAAAAATCTGAATGAATCCACACACTCAAGTGTTTATAAAGTGCAGTAAACATAAGGGAGGGTAGAAAACAGTAAACCAGAGTTATTAAGACAAAAATATGACAAATGAAACAAAGATTTGTTGTCTTATTTTTGCTTTAAAGTGCTCCTGACCAAGGGCTAGCGCAACGGAAAAGTTTCATTATGCTCTATGGCATAGAGCAGCTTTTTCTTGAGTATTTTTTTACTGCTGTATCTGGGGAGGAACAAAATGCGGGAGCAGGTATTGGCATAAGGATAGAACTCATCCGGATTTTCCTTTCCAGGATCTTTGATAGCAAATGTAAAGTTTTCCTGCGCATAGCCAGGGATTCGATCAGATCCTGTCAAAAAAGCTGAAGGAAGGGGAAAAGCAAAAACAAGTTAGCAAATTAAAACAAAAAATAAACAGGATAATGTTATCAGAGGATGAAAATCATGAGGGAAAATTAGTGTAAAAATAGGGCTATTTCCATAAGCTAATTATTATGCTTTGTTGAATTTGTACCTGAATATAACAAAGTCTCTTGCTGATTCATAATAAGTGCTCTTTTACTTTTACATATATAGACTTTGGGGATGAGAAAGGCCAGGCTAGGTTTGACCTTCTACATTTAAAAAGGATGAGCTGGCTTGTGCCACCCTTTGAGAAAGCTGAACTGCTTACATCAGCGTGGTCTGCTCACACACGCTGAGGCCTCTGGCCAACAACGGAAAACCACAGAAGTAAAGGATAAAGCAATGGCAAGGTGCAAGGCAGTCAGATGCACTCAGACAAGCCTCAAGGGATGTGAGAAGGGTCAGAACGGTGTCTGTGCAATTCTTTGTGTCACTTCTCTTTGTGGCTTTCACTAGAAGATGGGGGCCGGGGGGGGAACATGTTGAAAAGCAGTTTGGAACTATAGTATTTTTCATATCCAAGCATCTAAAATGTGTGTTGGGGGCAGGGGGTGGGGGAGAAAAGGGCTGTGAAAAGTTTAAAATGCCTAATACATTACCAAGAAACTTTTTCTTTTTTTCTTCTGGGAGTTTATGAAACACAGTCCAAAAATTCTTGATGGTTTGATCTAACATTCCGTACTGTATGTATATCACATTCTGTCAAAGGGATAAAAATAAAACTGGCCAGTTAATCCTCACTATTTCAGTTTTTATTTAAAGCAACAACAGTTTATCCGATAAATTTGATAATCCTGTTCATAGATACTAAAATCCTCTTAACCTCTGGAATCTGCTTGTTCATTTGTTTTTCAAAGATTCATATGACGATCCTTGATTTTTAGCCCCCCTTTATTCTTGCATCTGATGTAGATTAGAAAGAGACTCAAAACAATGACACAAATCAAGCAAAGAGAAAGTCCCTTGAGCTTCTGTTTTTCTGTTCATGACTTATGCACTCAAAAAAGGAACATGCCAGAAAGAGTTTAGGCTCAGCAGACTTATGTGCTTGTATCCAATACCTTTTGCAGCAACTTCCAGTCATATTTTGTGTGTCCCTGGAGAATAATCTGAAGCTGTACAGGGAGAAATATCTTCCAACTTCCAGCTGGGCAGCCTCTTAGAAATCCTTTCTTAAAGTCCCCAAATGGCTTCTGTATCGATTCATTGAGCACATAATTCACATACAAGTCAACAAATTCCTTCCTGCAAAGATATTTTAATCAAACAAGCAATGCAATAGGTGCTTTCTTAAGAAGGAGAATTATAGAGAACTTTATTCCTTATTCCTTTATTCCATATGACCTGCTGTCCTGTAAAGACTCAGTCTTTACTGAGAGCAGTCATCACTGGCAATTATTTATTCCCTGAATAAGCTGGGAGGATCATCCCAAATAAAAGAGAATGCTGGCCAACATGGATTCATTTTGATCATCCTCCTTGTGCTTCACGTGAGCTCTCCAATGAAATCCTATCAGACACTTCACTGTTAAGATGGAACCTAGCAGACCTAAATGGTGTAAATTCAGCATAACTCCCACTGAATGCCCAAGAATTACCCTGAAGTCAAAATAAATATTTGCACATATGCTAATTAGTAGTTTCACTCTTCTGTTTGTGATGGGGATTCGTTTAGCAACATTGTACCTGCACAATCAATTCAACGTAAATTCTATACTTTAAGCTTCCTAAACAGCCCTATAGGTCCTCAGATCATCTGCATAACTCAGGTCACAGAATTTCTCTCCGTCCCCTGTGCTGAGGTTAATATTGACTCAATACCTTATTGATAGATTGCTCCTCTTCTGTTCCATACAAAGTACATTCCATACACATAACTAAGCAGGAAACTTTTTGCTCATAAAACAACCTTCCAGAGGTGGACCTATGGCTGGATTCCCTGAACAAGTTGCCTGCATTTCCCTGAAAATGTTGTTCAGGGACATTTTATACATTTTTTAGGAATTTCCCTGATAAGGCCAGGCATGTCTGTATATGCAGATGCCAGGACGTCCAAGGATCCCCTTCTTATCCACTGCTTGCACAAAGTGCCAGTGTCTGACACATACACAGGACATAGAGCGAGAACCAGAAGCATACAACTTACTGGGCCAACAGCACAATGCTGATGTTCAATGTTTTCTAAGAGCATATGGTGATGGGGATAGATATGATATTTCATACGCTCGGAACAAGACAACAGGATAAGAAAAAGAAAAGTAAAACTGACCTGTTATCCTTAGTGACAGGAATGTTGGCACCATTTTGTTTAAGTTCAACAATGGAACCGTCTTCTTCCATTTTCTACACAAATAAATGAGAACACTGGATGCTGTACCTATACACAACAGCCATACATGTGCTATGTCTATCATTCTTTGTTTCTGTAGGGCCTGACATAGCACTCTTACCAGCTTGAGCTTACAGGCAAGTTGTGTCATTTGCAGTGGGACACTGTCTTGCCCGAGCACATGCACAGCCGGTCTGAATGGCACAATAATGTCTTACCGTGAAGTTCATGTCCAGGCTCTCAAGGTATTGATCAGATTCTTCATCCAAAATTCTCTGAAGGTTCCTTTTGAAAAACAAAGGGGAAAAAAGAGACATTCAATGCACTTTCAAATTCTGCTGGAAGTTATCCTTGGACAAACAGTATTTAAATGCATATACGTACAGAACACCTATACTCACACAGAACCTTCCCACATGGCCCTAAACTGATCTGTACACTTATGTCCCGCTGCTGCCATGAGCTGAGGGCAAATGCCTTCACCACGAAGGATTCCAGACAAGTCCACCCCCACACCCCATGGGAGTAACTTTACATAAAGTTCCATGCTTGGACCACAGCCTTGTTCTTCCAAGTATCATTTAGCAAGGCATTAAGTGTGGACCAGGGGGATGATCTGGTAGAACTGCTTTGGAGTGCATCTCTCAAAATATTGCAGGCAACTGGACATTTCAGTCCACTTCAACAGCCCTTGGCTCACGAGAAGGGGTTCGCATCTTCTCGGCTGTTTATAACACTTGCTGGGCTTCAGGGGCCTAGAAGCATTATGCTGGTGGCATCAGCACCTCTTGCTGACATATCTGCCCAAAATATTCTTTTCTGGTGCGTGGAAACCCCACATACAAGTTCTTAGATTTGACACAACCACAGCATATGCTAATACTGTGCTTGTACGTAACATCATTGATGACTGGTATATCAGAAAAAAACCCCAACATTAGTTATGGTGTGCTTAATGGTTCAAAGTTCAAAGTGGTTTTGAACTATATATTCACAGCATGGACTTAAGTTCATGTGGAGCAAAAACCTGCCCCCTTCTAAGCCACAGGGCTCAGCTTATTATTTTGGCAATACCAGCCTCTGTTTGAGAGCAACATCTGTGCCCTGGACAAGGCCCACCTTGGAAGTCTGGGGCTTTTAGCAGCTCTGCAATGGCAAACCTAGCTGCCACAGGTACCCTGACTACAGCCTTGGGGTCAAACCTTTATTTCCCACCAACCTACAGGGAGTGTTTTTGTTGTGGGTATACAGCTTCTAAGAACTGAGGAAATCCCATCATAAGGGTATAAAAATTCCCTTTTAAAATAGTCTTATGGAGTGGTCAACAGTGGTCTAAAGGCTGTACTGACTGTGAGAGTTGAATCTCTTGTGTCTCCACTGCTGAGATTAGATGCAAAACTTTGCTAACTTTGCTTCACAGAGAAGTCCTCTGTTGTGACTGCCCCATCCCTGGAAGGGTTCAAGGCAAGGTTGGATGGGGCTTTGAGCAACCTGATCTGGTGGAACGTGTCCCTGCCCATGGCAGGGGGTTGGAACTCGATGATGTTTAAGGTCCCTTCCAACTCTAACCATTCTTTCTCCATGCCCATCGTCAAGTGAGGAGGCCCGCCTCAGCCGTAGCTTCCCAGCCTGGCCTGGCTCGTACCAGCCTTCGTCCGGAAGCAGCTCCTTGAAGTCCTCCAGGGTTGGCTCCAGGCCCAGCAGCTTCTTGTAGAGAGCCTTGGGGAAGGGGAAGGGCGCCATGCGCCCATTATACAGGGCCATTCCGCATAGCGTCCCGATTCGGAAGAAGATGTCATCGCCGCTTGACACCTGATTAAGAACAAACATATTTAAAAAAAAAAAAAAAAAGTCTTTCCCTAGAGCAGGCTCTCGGCCTCCTCAGCTCAGCCCCTTCCTTACCTGAGTGGGGAACCAGGCCACGCCGGAGTCGAGGATGCGGAAGGCCCCGCTGTGGGGCTGGCAGAGGCTCCTGGCGGCGACGCTGAAGAGCTCCTGAGACAGCCCGCCTTCGTCCACTCCTTCCTCGCCCACGAAGCGCACCTGCCCAGCCCCGAGACATCCATAGCGACGGGGGCACCGACACCGGGGAGGGGGGGCGGAACGGAAGGGAAGCGGAACCATTAGGCTCTGGCCGCCGCTCAGCCCGGGGGGGGTTGGCGAGAGGACCGGAAGTGGCGCTAAGCGCCGCTTCCGGTCCTCCCGCCAACCCCCCCCGGGCTGCGCGGCGGCGGGAGCCGCCATGTTGCGCTTTGCCACGGCGGTGTTACGGCGGGCAGCGAGCAGCGGGCAGGGCCAGGAACCGGGTAAGGTCCCAGGCTCGGAGCGGTTGGATCCGTCGCTTCTGCGTTTCCTGGTGTGCCCGCTGTCTAAGCGGCCGCTGAGGTGAGGGGGCCGGGCCCTCTGGGGCCTGCTGATGCCTCTCCTCCCCCCTCCCTTCCTGAGGGGCTGCCAAAGGGCAAACCCCGTTTATTCGCTCCTTTTGTTTTTGGTTTTAATTCCTTGCCTGGCCAGGTATGACGAAGCTACCAACGAGCTCGTTAACGAGGAGCTGGGCATTGCCTACCCCGTCATCGACGGCATCCCGAACATGATCCCAGAGGCGGCCAGGACGACCCAGAAGAAGCCCCCCGCCGAGGGTTCAGAGCAGCCCTGAGGGACCTACTAGCCACAGCAGTAAACTGGGAGCCATGGCCGGAGGAGGCCTGCTCCCCTCCCTGCCCACACTGACCGTACTGGTTCCCCTCCTGTCCCTCGCGGGCTTGTTTTACTCAGCCAGCGTAGATGAAACCTTCCCCCAGGGCTGCACCAGCACAAACAGCTTATGTTTCTACAGTCTCCTCCTTCCTGTTACAATACCTGTATATGTGTTCTTCCATCTGTGGACCTGGATGGGGATTAAGCTTTTTAGGCACAACTAGTGCGATGCGTTTGCCAGCTCCTGGGCTTCTCTAAAGCAACACCGTTTATTTAATCTCATCAGGTACGCCGTTGATTTGGGGAGTTCCCTTCTGGCACTACTGACTCTCATCATTTTTTCTAGTGGTACCTGGAACCGTGTAAAGTTCTCTGCAGCAGCCTATTACTTAATTACTGCTAAGGCAGATAATAAAGTAATTCATTCTAGTGTATCCCTTCAAGAGTGGTGTGTGTTTGTAGTGGCACTAAGAAAAATCTTCTAGGTGGTGATTGTTTTTATGAGGAAGAACTGTACCCTGACTGAAATAAATGATCTCAAATAATAAGCAATGATAACATGCAGCAATATGAGTCTCTCTGAATTGCAAGCTTTGGGTTTGTTTGTTTGTTTGTTCTGATGTCTAACTGTCAGAAGAACACAAAATAAATTAGGCTGATATTTAATAACCAAATGAGTTAAATGAAGACATTTACTTGGATGATACTTATGTCTGTATGTCCAGAATTACATCCCCACGCAGAGACAGTGCATTATAATCAGCTTTTCATCTCTCTTGCTGGCACTATCCTTCCTTTCCATTCAGGCAGCATCTCCATGACAGAAGTGGCTTCTGTGGCTACGTCACTTGCTGGCCTGTAATGCTGGCTCCCCAGCCACTGGGTTTTTCAAATACAGCAAACTAGCCCAGAGTCTCTAAAGTCAGTCTAGCAATAATGGTCATAGACTTTGCCAATTACCAGTTTACTGAGCAATCCTATTACATTACGCCAAAGCAACCTCACAGTAAATAGCACTGCCACTTGCATTTAACTTATGCCAACAAAGCTTGATGGCTGCCTGGAATAAGAATGCAAGATGCTGCCCTCCAGATTTACTCTACATCCCCTGTAGAACATGTTTTGTAATAATTTGATGAGTAGTTGTTTTGTCGTATACTCAGGGGATACCAAAAGCCTCCTACCAATACTTCATTAACACTGAAAACCAAAGAACGCTGCAGCAATGTATTCAGGGCTAACAAATAATACAATTTGGTATCTTACCATTAAGATCTTTCTGAAATGCGAGGTTTGTGCGGAATTTAAATAGGTCCATATGTCTTGCAGAAGGCGGTGTCTATCAACTGTTAAAACTGACTGTTCATGGAACATCAGTGCGAAGAGTGCCTGAAGAGTGAAGTAGCAGTGTGTTAACAGTGTATTTTTCTCCTCTAAATTGTTTTAAAAAAAAAAAAAAAAAAGCTACACTTACATCATTGAAGGGGCTGGACAGGACTTGGCGTTCCATAGAAAAAATCATGGTCTTGGCTTCCATGTCAAAGATGCACGGATATTTGGTCAGCTTGTGTATGGCCGACTGAAGTGACAAGAAAGAAAGACGCGGTTATTTTCTCTTGCAAAATCAGAGTTTGGGGATACACGTGCAGACAGAGCTGCCAGCCTGTACGCTGGCAGACTCCTGTGTCTCTGAAACATGCCCTCGTGCTGTACATGAACACTACACCAGCAGAGGCACACGTTTTAAAAGCAGCTTCTAAACACCTCTGTGAGTGAGAAACCCTGACAGGCGTCTGAACTGTCTGCGCAGGCAGACGCTGGTGTTACAGTCCCCCAGGAACAGAATAAGGAGAGAGTGATTCTAATTAGCATCCTCCATAATTCAGCTAAAATCAAAACACATGGTAAAAATGCCCTGGATACCCTGAGTATGGTACACTGTTGTTAAAAACCGTTGGGTTTATTATCTGCAACACCAAAAGTAGAAACTGGTATCCAAAATAATCTAATTCAAAGTGTTACACCTCCGGTATGATAAGGCGGCAGCTTCAGGTAATGTCTTATTTGCCTTTTGATTCTATACTGTTTCTCAAACCTCCGCTCTAGTTAATTGGTACAAAATTGGTACATTAGCAAGTGAAAGGTTATGAAAGAATTAGGCAGTTTCCCTGACAGTTCCAGCCAAGTTGCCAGAAAAATGCATTTTTTGCCTAAGGAAGCCCTTACTATCCACGTTCCCATTTCATGCTGTTTGCTGTGACACCAATTGCATTTGGTAGCTAAATTTCATTCCCTCATGTCATCCAGAAATGGACCGTTTCCTGGGTTATTTTTTATTACCACAGCTTTGGCTTTAGATGTAAGTAAACTGAAATGCTTAATAGGATTTCTACATAAAACTTTAAAGAGACCTGACAGTATTTCTGTTAATTAAACATAACAAAATCCAGAGTAACGAGAAGCACAGCAACCATCCCTCATGGCTGTTTCACGCTGGTCAGGGGTTCAAAGCAAACAGAGCTGCCTAAGATGCTGAGGACAGCTCTGAGCCCGAGAACCAGCGGTCATCTCAGGAAAGTCACTATTGTAGCTGCTAAAATACAGCTGGGATGGTAAATGGCTTGCATAATTTACAACAGCTGGAGGACTAGGGAAAATGCAGTCTTTGAGATGTACTGGGCAAGAGTCTAGAGTTGATTACCATATATATCGACTGATTTAAATAAAACAGGGAAAAAAGCGTTTTGCACGGCTGATAACGCTTTATACTTACGAGTCCTGGAGCAGCGACCCAACAGCATAAGATAATCCCTTTCACTTCAGCCACATAGAACTTGCTTTCTTGTACTCTGAAACCAGTCCTGGAGTTCACCTGTGTTGATACAGGCAGTATGAAAAGGGGTGTCATCAGAGCCAGTGAGCTACGCCTCTGCGTGGGGGGACAGGGCAGAGGAGTAGCAGAAAGCTACTTATTTCTGCAGAAAGTTACTCTGCAGAAAGAGCTTGGAGGCCCTGTGCAGAAGCAGAGGGATAGAAACGCTCCAACTAGCACAGCACCCAGCAGTGGGGAGTCTCAGAAAGCCAGGTATGAACGAGCAGGAAAGCAATTTTCCTTTACAGTGAAGACCCCTTGACAGGACTCTGTCGGGAAAGGTATGTTTCACTTTGAGTGTCTTTCACGTTGCAGGAGAATCTGAAGTTCCCCATTCATGTTCGTACTTGTCGCCTGGCAAAGATATGATTTTTGGGGAGATGGTGAACACGTAAAGCTCCAAACGCCGTAACCACTTACGGAGGAGTAGGCCTGCTGCACTTTTGAGTTTATTTATCTGGATAAATACAGATTCAAGAGTCTAAACTTTGAGGCCCAAATCTGCATTCTCAGCCAAAAGGATATTCAATTCTGAACATAATTTAACAGCTTTCTCCGATTCATACGAGGTGCACACTTGAGCTCTTGACTTTCCTAAACCTTGAATGTCTCAGCGGAAGAAAGGATGGTTGTCAAGAAGAATACAGTTATTGCCCCCTTTCTTCCCCTTGTGCGTCTGCAGCTCTAACTCTGTTGTCCCAGAAAATTTATCTGGTAACAGGCTCTTGAAGCGTCACGCAGGGTTACTGCGGCAGCCACCACGTGCCAAGCAGAGGGGTCATCTTCTAACCACAGTCACGCAGGGTTACTGCGGCAGCCACCACGCGCCAAGCAGAGGGATCATCTTCTAAACACAGTGAGCTGCTCCTGGGGTGAGGGATCTCGCCAGCAGAAAGGGGACTGGCAGTGCTACGTAAGGGACACCACATCCATAGCTCTGCACGCATCAATGCCTGCATTCCTCGCGCCCCTGGGCGCATCCCTCGCCCTGCCAGGGGCTAGAACATCCTTCAGCTTTCCATTTTCTATAGATATAGAGTCAGCCAGGCACAACAGGATTCCTTTAAAGCTGTGCTGGTGTAGAGCCAATGAGATTCCTGAAGCAATGTCAAATGACAACACCCCATGTTCAGGAAAACCAGAGAATTCAACAAGTAAAAAGGATTAAAAGACTCTTACTCGAACTGATACGTCCTGTCTAGTCACAATCCAAACACTTTCTCACCTGGTAAAGAGTCTGCAGTATTTGGAGAGTCACAGTTTCACGGGGCTGCAGGGCAGAAATGTTTCTTTGTTGGTGTGTGACTTCGGTGATGAATTCAGACAGGTTTTTCTGGGAAACCTTCTGATATAGAACGACCAGCTTCTCGAAAAAGGATGTTTCTAGATTTGACCACAGGCATTCTGTAAAGGAAACAGTGAAGTATCCGTCACAGGTAACTGCAGATTTTCTCTTTTTATCAAATAAAGTAAACAAAAAAATGCTTAATTTTGCACCACAAAAACTAGTAAACCTCAGACTCAGAATTTATTTTTTTTGGTGTGTCTTTCTGCATAGTCCCCATGTTTCTACTTCTGCCGAAAGCTTTTCTTTCAGGCTGAACTCCGTAACAAATTACATCAGCAATACTACCTCTTGCTTCACAGCCAATTAAATGAGTCAGTTGTGTCACCATGAAACCCTACCAAGAGTTTTCAGGTCCTTTGTCCGGAGCTTCATGATGGCTTCTGCTAGCAGCCTGAGACAATGGAAAGAGTTGTCATCCTCTCCCTGCAGAAGGAAAGGCAGGATCAGGTAGACTCTGAAATTTTCAGGTGAGATGGGAGAGGAAGACAATGATGGTAGTAATAACATCTTGATCACGTTTTGCACCTTCAGAGGGAAAACAAAAACAAAAAGAGACAAGGGTTAAAAATGCAATTATGTTTTTGCCAAAATCATCTATGAATTAGGTTGGCATGCAATTCTCGTTTCATGCACAAACCCAGAGCTCCTCAGTATCTGCGTAGTGAAAATCCTTCCTTCGAATCCTTACCTCCTCAAAGACTTTTGGCTTCGTGCAGATCTTCTTATAAAAACGTTGCACTTCTGACAAGTCTATACCGGAAAATTCTTTGGAAGTTTTGAAATGTTTATCTCTATCACAAAGGTAAAAGAAAAAAGAACACCAAATGATGTGAGAAGCTGTTTTTTTGTTACTGACTGAATAATGAAGCATCCTAACATCAGAAAATACTTGGAAAATTCAATTGTGACCCTAGTGGGTATAATTTCATCTGTTATAAGAAGATATTCTCACTGTGGTGTGACCTGATAGATATTCTGTCCTTCCAATCTTGTGTAGCTGTGCACTGTTAAGGGTAGGTTTCCTGTATTTCACCCTAAAATGACTTATAACTTAAGTGCTGGGAGGAGCTATTATGGATCCTTTGACCTTTTGGGAGCTGTAATATTGCCTAAAGAGATTATCATCATCTGTCAAATGTCACTGTGGGATAATCTGCTAGAATGGGAGCACCTGTAGCACATTTCAATAGGACTGGGGGAATAAAGAACTTTATTTTAGCTTGGACTTTGAGAAATATAGACTTGCTTCTTGCAAATTCAGATACGACTAATCTTCTCTACATACATGGCCTAAAGTAACACTTTCTGGTCTCAAAGATCACTTTCTGGTCAGTTTACATGCAGTCAATATATTCTGTTACGTCTAAATCAGCACATTCTACCTTTTCTCCAGGAAGCTTCCGTTGATGCAAGCCTCAGATGAAAAGATCAGTCCAATATTCCTGATAGTAAACAACAAACCAAAGTCAATCCTCCTTCAACATGAGGAGCAACTTCAGGTTTTTAATTCTGAAAGAACAAAAATGTTCCCAGCATCTGAAGGGACATCAGACTTTCTCACTACCTGTATTCCTGGTTCCATTCTTACCAAAGCAGCTATTTTATCACGCGATTTGCTGTCAGGCCCTTCCTATTGAGATCTGGAAAGAACCCTCTCTCCTTCACCTTCTCAACAACCATTTTCCATATGATCCAAACTGTACTAAAAGTCATCAGGGAAACGTTTAGATCCACATTAGCCAAGATTTTTAAATGCTCATAATCTGCAGCTGGAGTCAGACTTGCCCAAAGAAAATAACTTCCCACGTAAGATCTGGAAAAAAGGCTACATCATCATAATTCTCAGCCATAAGCATAAGGCTCCCTGCAGCAGTATACACTTACTGCTTTTGAAAATGGGTAACTAAAGAAGGGACCGCTAATTTTTAAAGGCTGACACACACAAAACATTCCAGTTTGGGTACTCTGAATTATGATTTTTGCACAAGGCCTCGGTCTGCAGACCGAGTCTTTCACTGATTTAACTCATCAGCTCTTCATCAGCTTAACAGCCCCTCAGTGCAAGAAGAGGACAGGCTCCCGAAGCCCGGCAGCAGGTCTGCTCTCTTCCCGCAAAAGGATTATCGAAGGGCTGTTGCTTACCAACAAATCTTTTTCCTGTGCAAAAACTAAGTAAGAAGTGCCAGTAAAAGATTCTGTCTCAGCTAAATTCTTAAACATCAGTTCCTACAATAGTCTCCAAAGAATAATGATTTTTAGAGAAAGTCATATACTGGTGGAGGGGGAGAGGAGGGAAGTGGGGGAACCCAGCAGGTTTCTGTCTTACTTTTTTATACTCTTCCAGCGGCGTTGCAAACTGGAATTGGAAATCCATGCATCCACATCTTCATCCTTCAGAGTAGCAATACCATTCAAATAGGAATTCTGTGTGAAATGCATGAAAATATATGAAAATTTTGACAAAATTACAGGTCTAGCAAATAGGATTCTCTTTTTTCAAGCCAATCATTACAAGATTTCAGCCTAACTATGAACAAATCAGTGGTCATCCAGCATGATTCAGCTGCATTAACCACAGAACAGATATGTAATTGTAATGCAAGTTAGTTTCTGGGTTAGCATGGAAATAACTGCAAGAGACATGTATAAACTTGGAGGGCTAAAGGAGGATGGGAAATCCAAATGTTTCCAGCAGTAATGTGAAAAATGGCAAAATTAGAACCCATGATCAAATATGCACATACCTCGTTCTTGCAAAGGACAATACTTTGTCTTTCTCCTGCAATAATTTCAGTCACCTTCTGTGATGTGTTGTTTCCTGTGAAAGAGTAAAAAGATTTTCAAGGGAACATTTGAAGAGACAGTTATTATGTTCTGAGAGTTCAGTGCGCAGATGTGGAACAGTAAGAAGAACCCTCAGTTACTAGCTGTCTGCCTAAAAGTTGATCCTATGTGGCCATTACCCATGATGATAAATCAAGCAGCAAATGGAATTATCCATTGTAGAATCTGTTGGGATGACCAAGCAAGCATGAGATATAACGTTAGCCTCTCAGTGCAAACATGAAATCACAAAAGCAAACAACTCACTAGAAGAAACAAACAGAGACTGGACAATGTCATTGTACATCGTGCGATGGTCATTACCCTGAGGGGATTTTCCAGTATTCACTGGTGAATCGATGGGAAGTGGTATCAACTGATTAGGCCGATCTCCCAGCTCTCCTTTTTCACCAGCACCAAACGCATAGACTTTGTCCAAGGAGGGGACGTAGACCAGGGTGTGCCATCTGTTCAGAAAAAGTCATAATAAGGTAATACCACTGGGCTAGTGGTATTACCAAATAAAAACAAAGTTTACAGATGCATTTTCAGAGCGAATAGCTGAGGCTCTTCTTTAAAAGTCCGGACAGTCCAGCTAAAGAATCCCTTTAACCAAAGTCTTAGGACCCTTCCTTGCATAAACATCCAGCAATAAACATGTGGACTCAAATTTCCTACACTGTCCTCTAATGTTTGTGATTTACCCTGGTTCCACACGCAAAAATAAAGTGTTACACCTTGTTAACTTCACACTTCCATTTTTTAAAGGGCAACTTCTATGCTGCTGAGCCCAGCACAAAGCCCAGGAAAGCTGACAGGAGACTTTTTCTGGCCCAGTACCAGAAATGCAGAATGAAACTGGGTAATTATCATGACTCTTTGGTTCTTTTTAAGGACCCACCAGTTTGTCAAAGTGGATGGGAATTTGATGACTTTCCCAGGGCAGGCTTTTGACAGTTTTTTGCCCCAGTATGCCCTTCATTTCTTAAAAGAGCAAAAAACCAAGGCCCTTCTGGCTTCTCTGGGAGAGCTCAGCGTGGGCAATATTCTGACCGCGCTGACCTACTGGGATACAGGGATTTGAACATCTTGGTGACTCCCCTCCCTCCTGTCCTTTGGTGATTCCCCTAAGACCTTGACCTTAGAAGGCATGTTATTGGTACTTTCCCACCTGCCACAGGCAATCTGTGAAACTCTTGCTCCACACAGCTCGGCCACCACGCGAGGCCTGAGTTCATTCCGGGTGGAGTTGTGACCAAGCTGGCCAGCCCCTCCTGCTCCAAAGGTGCACACCAGCCCCTCCTTGAAGATGAAGAAGCAAATGACAGGATCACTGCACTATTACCAGCATTCAAATGGTCACCACTGAGAGTGAGAGCCAGCAAGACACAAGACGTTACATGGGCCTTGATTCCAAACATCCCCGATTCAAACACAGGTCGAGTTCACTTCTCATCAAGCCTCATCTTACATTGTCTAATATCCAAATCATTTAACTCCTGAGAAAAGCAACTTAGCTCCTCAGAATAATTGCTTGTTGCTTAAGAGCTTTACTTGTATGAGTAAACCCTAGTGAATTACTTATCATTCACATTTTCTGAATTCCCCAATATTTTACAAACAAGATAATATTTTCAAAAACACTGAGAGTTGAGCTGGACCTCTTTGCCCCAGGATTCCCATTCACCATCTCCCTGAAAAAGTCTGAGAAAAGGCCAGTTTTCCCAATAGCTTAGTTAGCACGCCTTGGGAATAGTCTTCAGGCTTGGATAGAAGCAGGTGTTGCCACCCCAGTTTCCGCGTGCTGACTTTTAGCAGTGTATCTTTTCTCCCAGGGTGAGGTCTCAGATGCTCAGACCTTCCATTTCAGACTCACCTTGGAGAGAGCTGCAGTATGATCTGCCCCACACGCGATAAATACAGTCTTCCAGTGCTCTAACGCTCCAATGTATGATGGGCAGCTCCTGTCTGAAAAGCAGATAGCACTGCTGAAGTGAGAGTACTGGGAGTCTTACACAAAGAAAGATTTGGAAAATAGGGGGGTTTAGCGCTTTTCAGCTTTTACAGCAATTCATGTATTTACAACTTGGTTTTGAGTTGTTTTCTACCCTCCACTACAACATACTCTTTCTCATAACGTTCTGTCTTTTTCACGGTATTTTCATTTACATTCAATGTTTGTTTCCTGGTTGGGAAACAAAACTCAGTGCTTTCACAAATGCTTGCCAAAAGGTACTTAGCTTCAAAATATCTGGCTCTTGAGGGTGTGAACTCACTCAGGTCCCACCGACTTGAGGTGCTGTCTAGCTAAAGCCACTCTGCTCTAGCCTTCTAGGTTTGAAGACAATGAGTGATTTTGATTCTTCTCTCAGCTTGTGTTTACAGAGAATTAAAGAAGGCAAAGAGGTATAAAATCAATTTCCTTCATGGAAGACTGCCTGGAAAGACCATGCGAGTAAGGAAAGAGACCTCTGAGACATTTTAAGAGCCCATGCCATCCAGTTGGCCAGATAAAACGACCATAAGTTCTCTATAGAAATACAACCCCTAAATCCCTTGTCCCTGTATGCCTTTCCTGGTCAGGAAACAGGTAACTTATCCAGATATACTTTTTTCAAAAGACTTTACTGGCCACTACTGCTCCAATGGGGTTTGACAGTCCTGAGGAGCCCCTCCTGCGTCTGCGGTAAGTTCACTGACCAGGAAACACCTTCCTACTGCTGTCTTTCCTTACCTTTTGTGTCTCCAAGTCCCAGCTGTCCAAAATCGTTCTTTCCCCAGGAGTACACGGCTCCAGAGAGTGACACGGCAGCACTGTGAGCTCCTCCAGCAGCAATTTGAGCGAGTGGGATGCCCTTTATGCTTTTCACCAGCTGTGGTTGGGGGATGAATGTGGTTTGGGTCTCCACTCCAAGCTGACCATGGGTGTTCCGGCCCCAGGTGAAGAGCTCACCTCCTTCACGCACAGAACAGAAGAACACAGCTCAACCTCACTGTTCCCCTTGAGTCTTTGCACTTTGGGAGTGGGATTGAAAATCAATGCTGTTTTCAGGGCTCTAGCTACAAGATGAGACCATCAGCAGCAACCAAATCTTCCTGTTTGCTTCTGACCCCTTTGAGGCAGTCCCATGGTGCCTGTGTGACTCAGCACAACAAGAATAAAGGCAGGGAATTCCCACTTCTAAAGCCATACTTGCAAGAAGTTCCCAACCAGAGAAGTGCTCCAACTTAAGAACGATCAGGTCTGGTGACTGCAGAGTGGGGCAGCCACGTCTGCTCACCACAACACGCCTTGGAGGAGGGGTAGCACGAAGGAACTAGAGAGAGACAGAGCTGCAGGTCCCGGGGAGGAAAGGGCAGCACTGAGCCAGCGCACTTTGTGTCCCCCACCCACTGCTCATTGCTCTCTAATGGTGTCACCAACTACTGGAAGGAGTTCAGCCACTCCCTTCTGAGAGCAAGACTGCCATAACGTGACTCCCGTTTGGAGGAGAAGTGTGCTTGAAAGAGGCTACCTCTGGAGAGCGCCATGGCGTGCTGGTCCCCACATGCTATTTGAACAATATTTTGGTCTCCTAGTTCTTTCACCAGCCTACAAAAATAAGGAAAAACAAAACAAAACAAAACAAATCAAAATAGATAGATGCTGTGCCGTGACACAAAGTTAATGAAGAAGATCCCCTGCTCATCAAGTCCCAGCATGCTTAGCAGGAATTATGTGGAAAAATATAAGCCACCTGTAAGTTGACTCACCCTGCTCTTAGGCTAACCTACTGCAGCTGGGCTAGCTGATTTGATTGTGGTTTGCACCATGGGAAGCCAGAAGAGAATCAGGCTCAGCCCTGGCCCAGTCAACAGAACATCCCACAGCAAACTGCTGTGCCATTTTCAGATGGTGGTTACCTTCACCACTTAATCAGAAGGTGGCAAGGTTCAGATGTGCTTGGATCTTTCACCTGCAGCTTTCCCAAGCCCCCTGTGGTTTGCAAGTCATCTGTATTACTCCGGTATGTGCTACCAATCCCTACTAAATTTGAGTAATCCCAAAGCTGCGCATACCAAGAGGCTCAGATCTTGGTGTTATCCTCAAAATCGGTGCACTTCTTGATGCGTAACAAAAGAAGATAAGTTTTGGTACTAGGAAGGAATGTGTTCCAGTTCCCTCTCTACAACAGAAACATGCCTTAGTCTCTTGGATGTTACCTTTAGGAAAAGCAGGCTGCCTTCTCTGACGGCTACTATCCATACCTCCACCCTGTGAAAGCTTCTCACCTTATCGGAGGGCAGTTGGTTGAAGCTGTAGCCCAGTGTTCAGAAAGGTCCCCGTGAGCAGAGAGAATGAGTGTATGTGTTGCATCGTGGTTTGAACATCGCATCTTCTCGTTCCTCTGTGACTGCTTGTGCTCTGCAGAACGAACACAGACAGGCACGACAGTCACGCTAAGGCAGCAGGCATCTTAACTATCTTGGCCCCCTCCCCAAGATCTCTGTGAGTTACTGCTTTCACCAAGAGCTTCTGCTCCTCAGGAAGAAGTGAGACAAGCGTGCCTGACTTATTTTCTCAGGCCCCTTGGGGTTTCAGTGTCCTACCCACTGCTCGGTTCCATGCCAGACAACTCTCCTGGCTATCACGAGAAGGCATTTCTCCATCTCTTAGGCTGCTGTGCCAGCAGTTGCCAAGACTATCAGTGAAATGTCAGCAGAAGCTCAGTCTATTACTTAGGCACTGCTGTGGAGAGTGCCCAGGGCACATAAGGCACCTCATGAGGTATCTGACCATCCCAGATTTGTCACAGCCTCGAGCACTGGATGCCTTGAAGTCAGATGTCTTACAAGGCACTGGAGAAGCAATGGTGGAAAATTCACACACTGCCTATTTACAGCAGAAGGAAGTCCCTTCTTGCCTGCAGCTGGAGGGCTGCAGGTGCTTTCTTGACCCTGAGGCACCAGATCTAGGCAGTTGCTCCCAGGTGGCCCGACTGCAGCACGAGTGTCCGAGAGACAGGGTGCCCGAGCGTGAAAGGTGGTGATCAGCACAGCCTTCCCTGATTCACCCAACACCTCTGCTCTGTTGGCAGACTCGCTGCCCACCCTCCTCACACCTCCTTCCAGCCTCCCCCGCTTGCTCGCACTGGGACATAGAATCACAGAATCACAGAATGGATTGGGTTGGAAGGGACCTCAAAGATCATCTAGTTCCAACCCCCCTGCCATGGGCAGGGACACCTCCCACTAGAGCAGGTTGCTCAAAGCCCCATCCAGCCTGGCCTTGAACACTTCCAGGGATGGGACATCCACAACTTCCCTGGGCAACCTGTTCCAGTGTCTCACCACCCTCACAGTAAAAAATTTCTTCCTGAGCTCTAATCTGAATCTTTTTTCTTCCAATTTAAAACCATTTCCCCTTGTCCTATCATTACCCTTCCTGGCAAAGAGTCCCTCCCCAGCTCTTCTATAGGCACCCTTCAGGTATTGAAAGGCCGCTATAAGGTCTCCCCGGAGCTTTCTCTTCTCCAGGCTGAACAATCCCAGCTCCCTCAGCCTGTCTTCACAGGAGAGGTGCTCCATCCCTCTGATCATCTCCGTGGCCCTCTGCTGCACCTGTTCCAGCCGGTCCATGTCCTTTCTGTGTTGAGGACTCCAGAGCTGGACACAGCACCTCTCCCTGACGGGCAGCACAGCAGATTACCGCAATTTTGGCGGTGTCATCTCCATGGCCCCGGGGCCGGGTGCCCCCTGGACCGAGAGGCTCCCAGCCCCGGCAGGGCTCTGCCTGCCCCCGCCGCCCTCCCCGACCCCTCCGCTCTCGCCGGTCGGTACCTCCCGTGCCTTGCTGCCGGCTGTCGTTCCCCCGGCTCCGCCGCTGCCGCCGCCGCCGTCCCGCCGCCATCCCCGCTCGCCGGCCGCCCCACAGCTGGGAGGCAGGGACAGGGACAGGGACAGCGGCGAGAACTCCCCGCCCCGGCGGAGAAATGGAAACCGAAACTCGGTGGATGCGGTGGCAGCGGGAGGAGAGAGCGGGCGCGGCCGGTTCCCGGGCTCCCCGCCGTCGGGAGGTTCGGAGCCGGCACAGACCGGGACCCGCCGAGCTGCCGGGCTTTGGGGAACTCCCGGCTCCAGGAAGCAGGTAGAAGGATGTCGGGGTTTTTTCCATGTGGAAAAGGCACCCGTAATGACTTCACTCTCACCTCGGAGAGTCACCCTCCACGTCCATCCTTTATAGCTTTCTATAAGCTCAGAGACCCACTCTGCTGCTCCCTGTATCCCACACAAATCCAGAGGGGCTGCGTGGCTGGGTGAAGTCAAGCAGCAAGTGAAATAAACACCCGGTTTAGGAACATATCAACATCTAAAAGCTGTCTGCTTCCAGTCTCACATTAATCCCTCCTACCCTCTGCTAAATCTTCCCCTGCCTTCAAAGACCCTGGAAGCTTCTCCCCGCCAAGAAAGGCCACCCAGCCAGCCCCACCTCACGCACTTTCTCACTGGAGTGATGCATAGAATCATAGGATCATCCAGGTTGGAAGGGACCTTCAAGATCTTCTAGTCCAGCCACCAAACTAACTCTGACAAAAAAAACCCCATCACTAAACCATGTCCCCCAGCACCATGTCATCCCATCTTTTGAACACCTCCAGGGATGGTGCCTCAACCACTTCCCTGGGCAGCCCATTCCAGTGCTTAAGTGCATGTAGGACCATCCTGATGACAGAATCATAGAATGGTTAGAGTTGGAAGGGACCTTAAAGATCATCGAGTTCCACCCCCCCTGCCATGGGCAGGGACACCTCCCACTAGACCAGGTTGCTCAAAGTCCCATCCAGCCTGGCCTTGAACACTGCCAGGGATGGGGCCTCCACAAGTGATAAAATAAGGCATATCCATGTGAACGATGAAATAGATCGAAACACATAAGAACATTTCCATTCTATTCCTAATAGCTTCCACTGAAGAATTAAATTCAATCTGCTTAAGAAAACTTTATGCTGCTGAATAGTAAGCACAAGTTTTAGTGGGGCATTCTACAAGAGTCCCAAGAAGCACAACATGAGCCTACAGGTTTATACTGGTATTCATTGAAACACAGTGGAAAATTTCCTCCTGAGACACCAGAAGCATTTATTATATGGTGCACAAAAAGACAGACACACAGAGGCCCCTGAGGTGAAGAAAAAAGGTTGTGGAGGAGCCACAGAAGCAAAGCAAGATGAACCTGGGGCATACAGTAATTGACTTCTCCCTGGGGAGGAGCAACCCAGCCCGTCTTTCTCAGCCACTTCCCTACACACACTACAGGCACCTTATCTCCTTCCACAGTGCATAGGAAAGTCTTTCAATCAAGAAACACCAAGCTAGAGCTGTGAGGCCAAAGCATGAGCTACAAAGGAACACTAGAGGTCCTTCTGCACCAAAGTATGAACCAAAGCCTCCTCCTTGAGAGGAAAAGCTGCTCCAGAGGCAAGGGCACTCACCTCCTCTTTGCCACAGAAATGAAGAGATTTGAGGGGAGGAAAGGAAACACGTTGACCCCTTTCTTCCTTTCGGAGCTACATTATTCTTCCTGCCAAATGGACTGCTGACAATGACTTCATGTCAGAAAGGCTTGTTCTGGTGATCTACTGCAGGTTCCTTAAAAAGTCTGCAGCTCTCTGCCCAACAGGTATCAGGGCTTGTGATAGTCTGACCCAAAGGAATCTGGGGGCCCATGAGGGAGATGGCTGGCAGCTGGCAGGAGACAGAGGAAAGAGGTGACCTGTGCAAAATGGTTTTCATCATAGAATCATAGAATGGTTTAGCTTGGAAGGGACCTTAAAGATCATCTAATTCCAGCCCCCATGCCATGGGCAGGGACATCTCCCACTAGATCAGGTTTCATAGCTAGAACTGGGTTTGACAGACGTGTCCATCCATACTTTGGTCATTTCACCCCTTTTTATCACTTCTGTAGTGCCTTACCCATACAAAAAAACCCAAGCAAACCCCAAACCAAAACCCCCGTGTGTCAAACACCTCGAGTTTGGCCTAGCACTTTCTTATGGGAGCAACCCTTCTCCTAGGAGAACAGCACGGACTACTTCCAGGGTGAGGGAAATGGAGAAATCCAAGGAAATGTATGCAGATGCCGTGATGTCCCAGGAAGAATGTCCCATGGTGGGCCCCAGGGAGCTGAGGAAGCGTGTAGTGAAAGCTCACTCCCAACAGGGTCAGCAGCCAAGCAGCCACGAGCGGGTCAATCCCTCCGGAGCAGATTTGGGAGCGTGGGCACTTGCAACCCCTCTCAGCCGGCTTGCCTGACTCCTGGCACCCAGCTCACGCGCTGCTCTACGTGGGAAGGGACAGAGTGACCTGGGGACCACCCAGCAGGGCTCAGCTGCTGGCAACCCATATGAAGTGCTGCATCCCCCACTTTCATAGCGAGGGACACACTATTTCCCACACTTGTTCCTTAAGTCACCTAAATCCCTCCCTTTTCCCACCTTTGGTTCCTCCCCTGAAAAGGTCCTGGGAAATCTCAAAATGTTCTTCGCCCGCATCCCATGATGTGTCCCACAGCCCTAGATAGCAATCCTACTTAGCCCAAAAGGTGACCTGGAGAGCTCCATGATGCAGACTTATGAGCATATTGAAGTTGGAGTGACCTCTGGAGATCATAGAATCATAGAATGGTTTGAGTTGGAAGGGACCTTAAAGATCATCGAGTTCCAACCCCCTGCCATGGGCAGGGACACCTCCCACCAGACCAGGTTGCTCTGAGCCCCATCCAGCCTGGCCTTGAACGTTTCCAGGGATGAGGAATCCACAACTTCTCTGGGCAACCTGTTCCATGTCCCACCACCCTCAAAGTAAAGAATTCCATCCTGATATCTAATCTAAATCTCCTCTCCTCCAGTTTAAAACCATTACCAGCAGCCACGAGCGGGTCAATCCCTCCGGAGCAGATTTGGGAGCGTGGGCACTTGCAACCCCTCTCAGCCGGCTTGCCTGACTCCTGGCACCCAGCTCACGCGCTGCTCTACGTGGGAAGGGACAGAGTGACCTGGGGACCACCCAGCAGGGCTCAGCTGCTGGCAACCCATATGAAGTGCTGCATCCCCCACTTTCATAGCGAGGGACACACTATTTCCCACACTTGTTCCTTAAGTCACCTAAATCCCTCCCTTTTCCCACCTTTGGTTCCTCCCCTGAAAAGGTCCTGTGCGATCTCAAAATGTTCTTCGCCCGCATCCCATGATGTGTCCCACAGCCCTAGATAGCAATCCTACTTAGCCCAAAAGGTGACCTGGAGAGCTCCATGATGCAGACTTATGAGCATATTGAAGTTGGAGTGACCTCTGGAGATCATAGAATCATAGAATGGTTTGAGTTGGAAGGGACCTTAAAGATCATCGAGTTCCAACCCCCTGCCATGGGCAGGGACACCTCCCACCAGACCAGGTTGCTCTGAGCCCCATCCAGCCTGGCCTTGAACGTTTCCAGGGATGAGGAATCCACAACTTCTCTGGGCAACCTGTTCCATGTCCCACCACCCTCAAAGTAAAGAATTCCATCCTGATATCTAATCTAAATCTCCTCTCCTCCAGTTTAAAACCATTACCCCTTGACCCCTGTCAGTACAGTGACAGTACCATCAAACAGCACTGGTCCCAATCCGGACACCCAAGGGACACCGCTTGCCACCGTTCTCCATCCTACATTGACTCTCGACCCCTCCACCCCCCCAGCCGGTACGGGTACCGGGGGTTGCAGAGGGGCGGGCGGCTCCCCGCTGCCGAGGCGTGGGAGCCGTGACCGTGGCCGTGACCGTGGCCGTGACCGGGGCCGGGCCGGCGCCGTCGGGGAGGGGTTTCCCCCGCCGCGGTTTAAGTGCCTGGGGCGGGCGGGCGGCGCCGTGCCGCCATGCCGCCCTCCGCGCTGCTGCTGCTGCTGCTGGGGCTGCTGGCGGCGCTGCCGGTGC